AACTGCTCTCGTGGAGAAACTGAGCTCACAAACCTGCTGGTAACCCCGGAGCATTAAATACAGACTGTTCAGCCCAGGGATGGGACAAATCTCCTGTGAGAAGGGAGTCAGTGCTAAGGAAAAGGGATTTTCTCAGCTGATTTTGTGTGAATTGCTCCTTCTGGAGTTCCCCGCTTTCGTAACCAATCCAGGAGCTCAAAGCAAAGTTGGGTTTTTCCTGACTTGGAACACAAGAGCTGTGAGTTAAAGTAAGGCAGGGAAAAGCAGGATAAAGCTGGGACTCACCAAAGAGTTTCTGCAGGTGAGTCGGCCCAGAAAAGCACAAGTCACATCACCAAGGAAGAGTTTGGTAAAAACTGAAATTACCAAGCTGAACCAGACCCAGAGCTGGTATTTAGGCAAAGCTCCCAGGAAGGAAAAGGATTGACTCAAATGATTGTGTTGATCAGTATGGGGATTTTATTCTCTTTTTTAACTCCTGGTCAGAGTGATGATCTCACTCTGGATCACACACACCACTGCAGCTTATCTCGAGCTGCTGCTTAGTTTGGAAGGTTGGTGCTGCTCTTATCAGAAAACCAAGCTTGAGGATCCAGCTGCTTGCTGAAGGACAAGCAGAGAAGCTCATTCTGCCACCATGGCCACCAGCCTGACCAGGTTCTGTCCTCCTCCTCCTCCTCTTAGCCAGAAGCATCACCTACAGATCCTGCCGTGCTCCTTAAAATGGAGACACAAAAAACCCTTCTGCTGGAAAGGACGTGCAAACCTCAGGCATGTGAGCTCCAGAGCCAGCTCAGCACAGCACATTTACACAGCCCAAAGAGAAGGGAAAGTCAGGACAGCATTCCCTGCCCAGCCTGCTCCTGATTAATAAATGCCATGTCGAGGGAGCTGTGTGCAGCCAAACAGGTCTGCAGACCCAGATTTGCCGTTTTCCACAGATGATTCCTTTTTAAACAAGCAGCTAAATGGAATGAGCCCTCTCAGCCAGCCCACCAGGCCAGCAGCAAAGGACTTTACACCACTGGAAGTGGCTGCAGGGATCAAAGGCAGTGATTTATTCTGGAACAAAGCTGGAGGAAGGGATTAGTCACTGCTGGCAGCCACAGGAGCTGGCACTGAACCCAGCCTAAGTGCTCAGAGATGCCTCCAGCACTCCCAGCTTAGCTGAGCCCCGAGCAGGAGGAGAAACCAAACTGCTGCAGGGCTTTTCCAGCCACTGAGGACCTTCACAAACCCAGCAGAGGGAGAGGAGCTGGAAGTTCTGGCTGTCACTTCTTAGAATGTGAGCAGAGGTTGTGAAAATAATGCTTTGGGCTAAATGAGGTTTAGCCCCAAATCACAGAATCCCAGAACGGTTTGGGAGGGAAAAGACCTTAAAGCTCACCCAGTGCCACCCCCTGCCACGGACAGGGACACCTTCCACTGTCCCAGGCTGCTCCAAACCCCAACCAACATTGCCTGGAATATTTCCAGGGATCCAGGGGCAGCCACAGCTGCTCTGGGCAACAAAGAAGAAGTTCAGCAGTGGCTGTGATGTGGCTGCTGGAGCTGGAACAGTCACACTCTTTCTATCCTGGGGAGGTCTCCTAAGGCAGTGCTAGAGATACAAACACTTGGGGGAAAATGAGTTTTTGAGCTTGGCAAACAAGATTTCTCATTCACAGCCTTTGGGTTTTGCTGCAATACTGATTAACTTGAGATGGGAAGAGTTTTTACAGCTTGAAATGTGAGGGTAAAGTGCCTACATCTGTTCCAGGGGCAGCCCTGAGTGACTACAAACAACTTCACATTACGTTGGATTTCCACCTACTCACTTCAGGCTGGGGACAGGGACAGAATATTTGATCAGACTCCTGTGCAGCTTAAGAATCTTTCTGACATTTTAGTAAATTATACCATCTATATTTAAGTCAAAGTTGGTTTTTTTTTAAAAAATCAAAATATATTCTGTAGCCCTGTTTATCTCGTTATCCATGAAAGATTCAAAGTTCCAATGCAGCTTTGAGCTTGACTCTTGATTAATTCCCAGCCCACCAGGGAAAAGAAATCTGCTTGGGAGGACAACCCCCAAATCACAGCCAAGCAAAGGTTTGCAAATGATGTTTTAAGGAACTCATCAATAAATAAAGCTGACACATGGAGTAAGGAGAAGTCCAATTCTGCTCTGGGGAATTCTGCTAGCACAGAGCCACACATCTCTTGCCACCAGTAGGCCCTGGTGGGGTTTAGGGCTCTATTTTGCTTCCAAAAGCTCTTAACATGCTACACACGTTGCTTTGTCTCATTAGCTTGCAATTTACATAAAATGAGAAATTCAAAAGTTTGGGTTGGAAGGGACCTCAAAGATCATCCCATGCCATGGGCAGGGACACCTCCCACAATCTCAGGTTGATCCAAGCCCTGTCCAGCCTGGCCTTGGACACTTCCAGGGATCCAGGGGCAGCCACAGCTTCTCTGGGAATTCTATTCCAGGGCTTCACCACCCTCACAGTCAAAAATTTCTTCCCAATATCCCATCCATCCCTGCCCTCTGGCAGTGG